ACTATCCGATCGGCTTGAGCATTGACGTCGACGTCTCCCACACTCCGAAAAGTTTCGAATTGTTGCCCGAAGACAAGGGAAGACCAATCGGTATTCATTATTTTACGTCGCTTCTTCTTGTATTTGTTCTGTGGGGTGTTCATTATCTGATCATGTGTTCGTTGTCCGAACATAAAAATCTTTCGTGAAAGTGTTCATTATCCGATCTGTTCGTTAACCGATCACCCACTGTATATAATAAATGGTAAGTCAAATTAAAGGAGAAACTTCCAGGCTGGGTGGAGTGTATCAGCATTCTTCCTATAAATGCATCCAATAGTAACAACTTGCTTATAAATTTGCAGCACTTTGGCAACTCTAGTCCTGAGTGAATCAGAAACTTTCTTAAAAATCTTGGCTTCATACCATCTTACAATATTTGTTAGTACAGACCCAAAAGCTGCTAGAGCTGTAGCACTTATTAGTGTCCTTCATTCTTTTAGCTAAGTGTCTTGAGATTTAACCAATATATGACTAAACTCCAAAATTGGGATGAAACATGGGTATGTTGTAGATACCTGATTTTTGGACCTCAGGAATATGGTCTTTTGTCATTGTGACAGGCAATAAACTAAGTTATTGAGTTCCTACATTATCTCTTTCAAAACCTTTTATTTCCAGTAAAAATAATAATGTTTACTTGCTTGAACAAACGTTTTCATATCTCTATCGAGAACTGCTTCAGGTTCAATAATGTTCTAATATTGGAATGCCCAGAGTTCAAATATTACCTGCCACTTAGTTCAAACGTTCGAATTATTTGATGCAAATTAATTTGGCTATTTATGTCCTACTACATTATATAGGTCCACCTTCTGCATATTAATATTTTATCCTGGAATTCTCTGAATAAGACGTCAATATAGTTGAGGATCCTTCTGATATGTATACAGTAGACCCCCTATAACACGGGTTCCTGTAATTAAGATTCCTATAAGACAGCGAAAAAATTGCGACGATATCTATACAAACCTAGTAAAAAAACTCCTATAATTCGGTAAAACGTCATCAGACAGCCGAACTACTTTCCGCCGTCCGGCGCCACGCTATGGAGAATTTAGGCAGGTAAATTGAGTTTAACTATCGTCTGTACAGTATTATATATAAATTAGGTACTGTACATATAATTATATATTAATTATATATAAATTAGGTACCATATATATAATTATATATTAACTTAATTTATTGTAACTTTATTTATTATATATATACTTTCCGCTGTCCAGCGCCACGCTACGGAGAGTTTAGGCGTGTAAGTTGTTTACTGTCATCTGTACAGTATGTAAATTAGGTATCATAAGTCTAATACAGTACTGTAATTTTATACATTTCTTATTCAACGGCCATAAAAATTATTTATATTAATGATGTCTCCAAAGTTCAACGAAGTTTTTGCAGAAAAATAACTTATCAGAAATCGCCGTTTGGTGTGCTGCTCCACGACGAAAACAAGCTTGAGCAATGGCGACGTCGAACGGTGCACACTCGGTAAGTAATCCTACAATTTTTTGTTTATAGTGTAGTTTATATGGATTATTCCCAAAAAATATACGTATTTTGGAAGTGTTGAGTCGAATTAGTCTAGAATCGATTAATTTTATGGAAGAAAACCTTTCAAACAGCTGTAGTCCGTAAACTTCACACGTGTCAGGCTGTGATTGGCAAGGACTCGTAAGAAATTGATTCATAAAGAACGGAACGTATCTACCATGTTATAGGGGGGGTCGACTGTATTTCCATGTGTATGATATACTGATATAAGACAAGCTACATAATATGATATAACTGATATGACTACAAGCTACTGATATGATATAAGACAAGCTGAATAGCAGGAGAGCACCAGGGGTATACAAAATACTGATCAAACATAATAGGTTTCAACGAGACTTGGTGTATATAGGATCAACAAAAGCATCATTACAAAAAAGGCTAAAAGAACATAAATACAATATAGACTATGGTAACAACACAACAGCACTGGCAACATATGTGTCAGATCAGGATATACATGCGAACCTAGAGAATGCTACCCTTATAAAGAAATCATTCCAAACTGACCATATAAGGGAATTGGAAAAATTAGAAATATACAAAGCCAGCAGAGCGGGGAACTGTATAAACTATAAAGACAACAACACTATATCACACGCATGGCAATATACATATCAGAAGGATCCTCAACAATATTGACGTCTTATTCAGAGAATTCGAGGATAAAATATTAATATGCAGAAGGTGGACCTATATAATGTAGTAGGACATAAATAGCCAAATTAATTTGCATCAAATAATTCGAACATTTGAACTAAGTGGCAGGTAATATTTGAACTCTGGGCATTCCAATATTAGAACATTATCAAATTTGAAGCAGTTCTTGATAGAGATTCGAAAATGTTTGTTCAAGCAAGTAAATATTATTATTTTTACTGGAAATAAAAGGTTTTGAAAGAGATAGTTATAAATTCCAGTACTTAATTAGTGAATATTTCCTGTTATGCTATAGTTGAATCTTTTGCTAGCTTAAACATTTAACCACCTATGAAACAGTGTAGATCCTCATTGTATTCTTTATAATTTATTATATACTTTTATTTGATTATTGTTGATTGTTGATTGACAATCAACAATAATCAAATAAAAGTATATAATAAATTATAAAGAATACAATGAGGATCTACACTGTTTCATAGGTGGTTAAATGTTTAAGCTAGCAAAAGATTCAACTATAGCATAACAGGAAATATTCACTAATTAAGTACTGGAATTTATAACTATCTCTTTCAAAACCTTTTATTTCCAGTAAAAATAATAATATTTACTTGCTTGAACAAACATTTTCGAATCTCTATCAAGAACTGCTTCAAATTTGATAATGTTCTAATATTGGAATGCCCAGAGTTCAAATATTACCTGCCACTTAGTTCAAATGTTCGAATTATTTGATGCAAATTAATTTGGCTATTTATGTCCTACTACATTATATAGGTCCACCTTCTGCATATTAATATTTTATCCTCGAATTCTCTGAATAAGACGTCAATATTGTTGAGGATCCTTCTGATATGTATATTGCCATGCGTGTGATATAGTGTTGTTGTCTTTATAGTTTATACAGTTCCCCGCTCTGCTGGCTTTGTATATTTCTAATTTTTCCAATTCCCTTATATGGTCAGTTTGGAATGATTTCTTTATAAGGGTAGCATTCTCTAGGTTCGCATGTATATCCTGATCTGACACATATGTTGCCAGTGCTGTTGTGTTGTTACCATAGTCTATATTGTATTTATGTTCTTTTAGCCTTTTTTGTAATGATGCTTTTGTTGATCCTATATACACCAAGTCTCGTTGAAACCTATTATGTTTGATCAGTATTTTGTATACCCCTGGTGCTCTCCTGCTATTCAGCTTGTCTTATATCATATCAGTAGCTTGTAGTCATATCAGTTATATCATATTATGTAGCTTGTCTTATATCAGTATATCATACACATGGAAATACAGTCGACCCCCCCTATAACATGGTAGATACGTTCCGTTCTTTATGAATCAATTTCTTACGAGTCCTTGCCAATCACAGCCTGACACGTGTGAAGTTTACGGACTACAGCTGTTTGAAAGGTTTTCTTCCATAAAATTAATCGATTCTAGACTAATTCGACTCAACACTTCCAAAATACGTATATTTTTTGGGAATAATCCATATAAACTACACTATAAACAAAAAATTGTAGGATTACTTACCGAGTGTGCACCGTTCGACGTCGCCATTGCTCAAGCTTGTTTTCGTCGTGGAGCAGCACACCAAACGGCGATTTCTGATAAGTTATTTTTCTGCAAAAACTTCGTTGAACTTTGGAGACATCATTAATATAAATAATTTTTATGGCCGTTGAATAAGAAATGTATAAAATTACAGTACTGTATTAGACTTACGCTACCGTAGNTTTGTTATACATATGTATTATCTAAGATTTTATTAAACATTTTTTTCTAAATTATTGTTTTCTTTAGTCTCCGGCCCCAATTAAAAATTATTTGTATGTATTTATATGCAAAATTATACCCCGACTTACGCGAATTCGACTTACGCGGTTACCGCTCGGTCCCACCTACCGCGTAAGTTTGGGGTATTACTGTATATATATAGTTAATTGACAACCTTATGCATATACACACTCAGATATGCATTTACACACTCAAAAACATTTGTTCAAATGTAAAATCTTAACAACTCTAAGGTTGTCAATTAACTGTTGAACTATATAAGAAATTATCTCCATCTTGCTACTGTCTAATAATTAACTTTTACATATGAACTTTTTTAAAGATTTAAGTAACAATTTGAAACGTATAAATTTTTCTATGATACTGAGTCACAAGTTTTCTTTTTACTTAAAATATAACATACAAAAATACAATTTTTTAATATGTTATAAATCATATTTTCTATATAATAGTGATTTTTTTTGTGTGTGTTTATTATACAAGTTTGTAAGTGTACTTTGTTTATAGGTATTTAAAAATATTTTCATCCTTATTTCTATGAAAATTTTCTTATTAGCCTTTAACTTTTTAGAAGTCTCAGTTAGTACAGTTTATAAATATTTATAAGTGTTTTTAGAATACACAGATTCCATCATAAGTAACTTATCACTGTGCTTTACAAATGAGATGATTTTGATAGATTCTAAATATATTCTAAAAGCAACAAATATTTATAAACTGTCCTAAGCCTTTTAAAAAGTTAATCATTGAGAGAATTTTGTTGTAACTACTTTATGAAGAGCTGAATAATAATTTTTGATAACTAAACACTGATAAAAGTTTAATCTAATTTATCCAAAAAATTTTTTTAATTATTTCAACTATTATTTATTTGAAATCTAAAATAAAGATTTAAATTTTAACTATCAGTTCCACTTCATAATACAGTAAGAAAAAATATATATACTTACAGTAATTATATTAGTACATCTTTGAAATCTTGCAATATCACCTCTTAAAACTGAAAAAGATAATATACATATAAAGTAATGCATCATAATTTAATCGTTTTTGTATTAATATCATTTAGAATAAAGTACCTGTATACTCTTAAAGTTGAATACAGTAAAACTCTAATCTCAAATTCCTCATTAAGTCAAACTAGATTGTCAGTCCCAGTAAATATCCTACATAATATATTTTTCTACTCCTGAAGTCAAACAAAATTTTATGTATCTCAATATTAACCCTCCTTAAATCAAATTAGTCAAACTCAGCAGATGCTGACCAACCTAAGTGAATAAATTCCACAAATCCTTTTGGCACATTGTTTGGTAAAGCAGCTTTAATAAAGCTTATTTAGCTGTATTATATCAGAATTAGCCAATAATATCAAAGTTGCCAATTTTATGGAAAATTTGCTAAATCTAATTTTCCTATAGCATTGTTGAGAGACTTCAAAGTTATGTACTCTGCCTTGCAAAAGTGTTAGCAATTTTTTTTTTGTCAAAATGGACAGAGAAGACACACATCAGCAATTGAATAATACTTTAGTTTAATTAAAACTAATTTTAATTATTGTTTATAAATAAAAATCTGCTTAAGAAAAAACTTTACAAAATAACAAGTATTTAAAAACATTGGAAAAAAAATCAAAACAAATGGGCAGTTATGCTCAGTTGTAATGCTCATTATATCATCTATCATAATATTGAGCATATTGAATGATAAAACATGATGCTAATAGGAATGAAAAATCTGGAAACACATTATTAACTTTAGACACTAATATTTAGACATCAATATTAATGTTTTTAACCTGTGCCTGAAGATAAAAATGATTTTTTTTTATCCCATACCATGAGCACCAAGAGGATTTTTTTCAACATACTCATTATGAGTTCAGGTATTCTCACAATAGTAATGAGAATGGTGTCCAACAAATCTAGAACAAACCATCCATAAAAATTTTAGAATCTAATTTGGACTTTAACAGTTATCTCAGAATGGTTGAATAGCTATAATCATACAGATGTAGGTATGCCATTCTGAAGAATCTGATTTTATCTGATATATATATATACATACATACATACATACAGTAAAATCTGTCTATGGCAACCACCCAATTTCTTCAAAACGTGGTCTTTTAGACAGATGGTCATCCAATACAGGTGGTGCTGTAATACTGTATTTCCATACGTATTTTGTGCACTTTTTAGCCATTTCTACTAAGCAAAACTCAAGGTGAGCAAAAATAAGTGAATTTTTTCAACGATAGAGCTATATTGGTATTGTATTTTATTCTTATCAGATAACTCGATTTATAAGTGATTATATATATAAGTGATCTGATAACTCGATTTACAGGCATCATCATGATTTTATAAAACAGATTTAATACCAATATTTTAAAGGTTAATACAGCGTTTCTCAAAGTGGGCGATAACGCCCCCTTGTGGGCGCTGGAGGCTTTCAGGGGGGCAGTAGAAGGCTCAAAGAGAATTGGGGGGTTAGAGGGGCGACGGCAGACAAATTCTATATATAAAAATTCGACGGAATATATATAAAATGTTGACATTTTATATATTTTTTATTTTTTATTGAAGGTCACAACTTGAATATTTCTAACACATCGACTTTTATTTTAGCTCAGCGTTTCTCAAAGTAAGCAATAACGCCCCCTTCTGGCACGATGAATAGATCTATGATAGAGGCAGGGTATTGAACGGTGACCAAAGGCAAAATTGGGGCTGATAAGAGGAAACATTGCGTTTATGTTTCCAGATGATGAGAACAATGTACAGTAAGGGCACAAAGTGTGAGATTCATAGAAAAGTTTTCCTAAGAATATTTCCAATCCTTTTCTCACACAAGAGAAAATGGGTTAGGGGGCGTTGGGTATAACTTTATGGAACAAAGGGGGCGGTGGATCGAAAAAGTTTGAGAATCACTGGGTTAATACAATACTTGCATTTTCTCAATTATAATGCACACTTTCTTTTTTCCAACTTAATTAATTCAACTTGGTTCTTTTTGTTCACTCCTCAGTTACATGTACAGTGGTACCTCAGGATACGAATGCCCCAGCATACGAAATTTTCAGGATACGACATGAAATTTTAACATATTTTTGCTCCACGATATGAACAAAAACTCACCATATGATGTTACATTAGTTTGCAACGCCATTTTTTATTCACTTCTGTTCATTGGTCTCAGTCCGCGTGTTTGCTTCGTCATGGAAGGATCTCGCTCGATAAAGGAAATCTTGAGGTATTACCAGAAAGTGACTGATTTTATTGAAAAGAAACATCCCAAAAAGGTTCACACTAGCTGTATTGCTGCTCAGAGTAATGACATTTGCCTAAGTCATTTTAGAAACATTTTAAAAAGTAGGCAAAGCCAAACTTCTTTGGATAGATATTTTACCAAGCGACCTGTATCCAGTGAAAGTGCTGGTGGAAGTGAAGGAAAGAAATAAAAAAGCAGTGAATAAAAATTTTTAAAAAATATATATAAAACAACACTAATTTTTTAATCCTTTCTAAGTTATTTTTAAGTTATTGTTACATTATGTTACGTAAGTTAAGTTTTAGTATCATTTCCCTTCTCCCTCTTTTCCGCCACCAGTTTACACCTCCACTGTAGTCTATCCTGAAAGGTAAAGTGCAAATAAAACTATTTTTTTTATCAATTATTATTCTATTATGGTTATTTATACATTTACAACTACAAAATGCATTTTTCAGTGTTTTCTTTACTATAGTTATTTTTTAATGTACTACTTAACTTTAATTTGAGTGTGTTTTTCATGTTGGAACGAATTATTTGATTTTACATGTAATTGTATGGTGGAAAATGATTCACCTTACAACATTTTCATGATACGATCCCAGTATTGGAACGGATTAATTTTGTATCCTGAGGTACCACTGTATTATGTCATCGATATACAAGTATGTCATATCTCTCTATCACATCACCAAACGATCGCCTAAATATCGGGCTATAATACGGCTAATTAAATGATTGGAATAAAGTAATTTGACACTAGAGGTAGACGTTAGGCGCCATCTCTTAAGTAAATTAATAATTAAATAAATAAATCAATAAATAAATTTAGAATCTTCTGGAATAAAATTAGAATCTTCTGGAATTAAGTAAATTAAGAGATGGCGTTAGGCGCCATCTCTTAATTTACTTAAGAGATGGCACCTAACGTCTACCTCTAGTGTCAAATTACTTTATTCCAATCATTTAATTAGCCGTATTATAGCCCGATATTTAGGCGATCGTTTGGTGATGTATTTACTACTCGGGCTATGAGTTGTTGATATTTATATATATATATATCTCTCTATCACTTTGGTTTTGGTTTTCGTTAGTTTAATCTTATTTTAACTTTAAAAATACTGTATTTTTTTAATATTTAATATTTTCTTAAGTATAATAAAAAAATTATTAATTAATAATAAAACGATTTTATTATTATTTCTCATAATTCGATTTCATTGCATTCTGCGATTGTCCAATGACAATTGAAAAAGGAAGGTTTTCAAACTTTCTGAATGGAACCTATAAACCATACTTGCATATTTGAAGCTTAGGAGCATCTTCCCCACAAACATTACAAACTTTTTTATTGTTTGTATGGCATTATATCCTTTCCAAAATTCATAAAGAGTAGAATGCCAGATTTTTATTCAAACAAAATGTGAAGTAAAAAGTTTAAAATAAGCTTCTAAACAAAGAATTCAATCAAACACATTAGCAGTAATGTGTTAAATTTCACAAATGTTACAATTAAATCCATGTTAAGTAAGGATAGTTGTTAAAAATATGCAAAAACTTTGTCTGATCTGATATAATCTTTACTTACCATATTTACTCACATATAAGACAATCTTGCATATAGCATGAAGTGTGACTTTAAAGATCAAAATAAAGAAAATTAGATTTATTAATACAATTCTAATTTTATTTCTTTTAATCACAAATAAAATATCAAATGCACATAAATGCACACAATGTCCCACAAAAATTACTGGCATTTTTAAACTTCAAGGAAAAATCTTGTAAAATCAACAACATAATTTGTTCACGTAAAGCCGAACAATTGGACCCTTTTTTTTCTTTGCCAATTCTTAACAGTCAAATTCACTCTTTGTCAATAACACTTACGAGTTTCTTCGAATTCTGATTTCCAAATAATCATCTGTTTTCACATGGGAATGAATTAAAACTTATATCAGGCTCTCATGTAATTTTGGAATTCAATTCAAAAGCTTTGCTATTCCTATTGCTATTCATCTTTACTCCTGACAATACACAAGAATGATTCAAATGACCCAGATAAAATACTTTTGTTTTTAAACACCAAATGGTGAGAATCTGGAAAAAATGCAAATACACAGTTTACAAAAATTATACAGAAATGAAATGAATCCTTTGCTCACGCATGTAGGGCTACCTAGGTTTTTGAAGCAGTGAAAAATGGATAAAAACCTTGTCTTATATGCAAGTAAATAAGGTATTTATTATGACATCCAATATGGGTACAGAAGCAACTAAGTCTAACAGGAAGGTTGTAATATCAATGATTGTGATTTTCATCACAATTATTTAAGTGGTACATGTGTGCCAGATCTGGTGGCCATCTTTAACATGTCAAAGTTGATGATGTGCAACTTATATGCAATTTTCAGTTTATTATGCAGTACTTATGTATTTTATTTATTGTTTTCATGTTTTAATTTATATTAGGGCATTTAAATATGTTATCTTTACATTAAGTAATGTATTTGCAGTTTTAAGTTTATCAAAATGGGTATTGTTCAGAGTCAGAAAATAAATTAATTCACTTTCTATTATTTTTTATGGAAAAAATTGCTTCAAACTTTGAACAATTCAGAGTTCGAACAACCTCCTGAAACAAATGAAGTTTGAAGTACGAGGCACCATTGTATATATATGTGAGTATATGATGTCAAACTTTAATGAAAAATGCTAAATATAAAATAATTCTTAGCAAAAAATATATTTGATTCATTAATTTAATATAAAAGTCATATTATTATTATTGTTATTCCATACATAAAAACCTTTATTATTTCTACTAATTCTTACCATTCATTAATATTGTTTCTGCAGTATCATCAGCATTATGCCCTAAAATAAAAATTTTTATTAATTCCATTTACAATATTTTTAATTAAAAACATAAATAATATAAATAAGCCTTTAACTATCCAGCAATAAAAATGTTTAATAAAAACGTTTTCAACCGTTTTTAACGGCCATCTTCAGTTGAACCAATATAAAAAAAAAACACTAAAAAGGAACGTATGAAATACGAATTAAACAGAAACCAAAAGGCGCATGCGTAATTCATCGAACTTGCGTCTTCTGAAAATCTATAAATAACTTGCAAATAACATAAGGAAATAAAGCCGCCAAAAAAGGGGGAATATATGTAGATTACAACGTATTAATCTGCGTTATTGTAAAAGGATTTCCAGGCATAAGACAACCCTTCAGCATCTCTATGATTAATGCCCCTTGAAAGGATAGAGATACACAAGGCACAAATAAGCAAGGGATGCATTAATGATAGAGATGCAGAAGGGTTGTCTTATGCCTGGAAATCCTTTTACAATAACGCAGATTAATACGTTGTAATCAACATATATTCCCCCTTTTTTGGCGGCTTTATTTCCTTATGTTATTTGCAAGTTATTTATAGATTTTCAGAAGACGCAAGTTCGATGAATTACGCATGCGCCTTTTGGTTTCTGTTTAATTCGTATTTCATACGTTCCTTTTTAGTGTTTTTTTTTTATATTGGTTCAACTGAAGATGGCCGTTAAAAACGGTTGAAAACGTTTTTATTAAACATTTTTATTGCTGGATAGTTAAAGGCTTATTTATATTATTTATGTTTTTAATTAAAAATATTGTAAATGGAATTAATAAAAATTTTTATTTTAGGGCATAATGCTGATGATACTGCAGAAACAATATTAATGAATGGTAAGAATTAGTAGAAATAATAAAGGTTTTTATGTATGGAATAACAATAATAATAATATGACTTTTATATTAAATTAATGAATCAAATATATTTTTTGCTAAGAATTATTTTATATTTAGCATTTTTCATTAAAGTTTGACATCATATACTCACATATATATACAATGGTGCCTCGTACTTCAAACTTCATTTGTTTCAGGAGGTTGTTCGAACTCTGAATTGTTCAAAGTTTGAAGCAATTTTTTCCATAAAAAATAATAGAAAGTGAATTAATTTATTTTCTGACTCTGAACAATACCCATTTTGATAAACTTAAAACTNTGCACACTCGGTAAGTAATCCTACAATTTTTTGTTTATAGCATAGTTTATACGGATTATTTCCAAAAAAATATACGTATTTTGGAAATGTTAAGTCAAATTAGTCTAGAATCGATTAATTTTATGGAAGAAAACCTTTCAAATAGCCGTAGTCTGTAAACTTCACACATCAAATACATGAGCCAATCACAGCCCAAGGATTCCTACAACGTGAAATTCGTATAACGAGGAACGTATCTTCGCATTATAGGGGGTCTACTGTAATAAATAGTAATAATATTTTAAAGTTGCTAAAATTTTCTTATTTTTATGTTATTTTAGAAAAAGTTAAAATTAAGAAAACATTTTATTAACTTTTGGACATTAAGAGTGGGTTTAGCTGAATCTCAAACCACATCATGGATTTGAGATTCAGCTAAACTCATAATAGGTGCAACTAGATAGTGAGAGAAGATATCTGCCATAGCTGAGTCAACTCCACCCATGAAAATTTCTGGGTTGATATAAATTTGGGTTCTCAAAGCAGCAGAGCATGTAATAACTTAACCATCTACCACTGAACTTGTGGTTCTGGTTTTAACATTGTACATTTAACACTGTTCATTGTAAATGCCAAGCATATTTAATATTCCTTTAATCAAACATTCAAAATTAATGTTATTGTTATACTTAAAACGTCTTTCTATTATTTATATCTTCTCTTATATAAGATTCAATAGGTGGGCTCACACTAGCACTGCCAGACTCTTCTTTGACAGTTGTTGTAACAATAAGAGTCACCCATGGCCCAATAGACCAATTTGTCTGATCTGACTTTCAACAAATATTGGGCCAGCAAACCAAAACTGACTAATCAGGATAAAGCTCCAATGACATCACATTTTTTTAAAAAATCATAGATATAAAAAGAATGTCTACAGACAAAACACAAACATTATCTTACTTCCACAATATACATTTTGTTTGTATGGGCATAGTATTGTATTTCTCATGAGAGTTAAATACAATACCATACAAATTGCAACTGCAAATATAATCCTTTCAATTATATAAAGATCACATATAAGCATAATTAGTGCTTATTAACTGTTTTACATTCAAGAAGTATACAAATGTTTTATATTTGGCAATCTTATTCCTCAAGAAGGTTGTTGTTGAATTTACAACTCAAAATCAACAAAATGCTATTTTTTCAATATCATTAACTCAATTATGATTGGAATGAACTCATGGATATTATCAGTATTCTCTTTGGCTGGTGTAGGACATTTTAAGCACTTTTGAAGCCTTCAGCCCAACTTTTTTAGAAGCATTACAGAAAATACAGACAGAATAAAAATATTAGTAACTAGCAGACCCCGCCACGCCTTGTTGTGGCTCAAAATGTATCTATTATAAATGTATAACACTTCCCCAGTGGGGGAAAATTTTTCGAAAAATTTTTTCTTAGTGTACATTCTGTTGACGTACCCTATTAAAACGCAATCAAAAACGCAAAAACCCGCATCTAAAATAGTATAATAGAAGCCAAGTTTTTCAGAGTAAGCCTTAATCCTGTCTCTCTCCCCCGCGGGGGGAATATCGAAAAATCCCTTCTTAGTGTACATTCTGTTGACGTACTCTATTAAAACGCAATCAAAAACGGAAAAAACTGCATCTAAAATGGTATAAATAGAAGCAGAGTTCTTTACGGTAACCTTTTCCGTAAGGCTTACCGTAAAGAACTGTCCATCCCCCATGTTTAACGGAATAATATATAGCCTATGTCCACCCTGAAGTTCCATTCTAAATATTGGTGAAAGAATTTTTGAAATCGGATGAGTAGTTTCAGAGATTACCTGCTGCATACAAACTAACATACATACATACAAACATTACCTCTTTATAATATTAGTATAGATGAGCAAAGAAATGAGACTTTAAGGAGAGGTATGCCCATACATTAATGTAGTCCTTATAGTAATTATTGTTACAGACAATGATATAAAAAATCATCAATTAATAATTACAATCAAACTATATTTTAATAAAACTTACAATTGTTCTTTAATCCTACTTTTTTTACTATCTCATCCATTGTCCATCCATAAAGTTCCTATTAAAAAATCAATTATTATTTAAAATAATCAAAATAACTGTTTTCAAATCTTAAATCTTGATTTTATAAAACATATAAAATCATTTAATCTAAATATAGAGATTCATTATGAGATAGCTTTCATTTTTACTGTTTAAATATAATATTTTGAGAAATCTTTCAAAATTTACAAATACCAAATACTTTATTTCTAAAAAATAGTTTATAAATAAAATATTTGAAATTTGAAAATTTAAACATTTTTTTTTTCTTGTTTTTACTATTAAAAAAAAATTTTTCAAAATATCAACAATATTTTTTACAAAAAAAAAGTTGAAGATAGTGTTTTAACTTCTCATATTTTGAAAATTCTCTAGAATAAGAAATGAATTGCAATTTCTGTAACCTTTAATTCAAGTGTTGATAATTTAAATACTAACAACAATTTCATAAATTAATTTAAATATAATTTTTAAAATAGACTCTTAAAGTTATAGTTTATAAGAAGCTTATGGCAGCTTACTCAAATAGATAGAAAAATTTATCTATCAGTATCCCAGTAAACATTATGTATCCTGTTATACAATGAGTTAAGAAGCCAATCAAAAATTTAATTTTCTCATAATTATTTATTAATCACTGTTTACACTTATCCAAAAGTTAAGAATGAATAATTTATTTATTTATTAATTAATTTATTAATTTAGTAATTTAGACACCCTATTTCCTGGACATTTCCACATCTTTAAAACTTTCACATGAAACTGGACAAATTCCTGTATTTTTGCATGTATATGATATTTTCTATCTTGGATACCTCTTGACCTTAAATTTTCAACACCTTTTTGTTATGTAAGTTAGGCATTTTCAGAAATTTCTCTAATTTCTTTTTAACTGTTGAATCATCCTACACAGATGCCTGGTTTTAAAGTCTTATCAGTTAAAAGCGAATGTGAAATCCGGAATTTTGGTGATGGAAATATCGCTCTTTTATTAACAAAATTATTAATTAATTAAACTTTCGTTTATGTAAGGCCCTAGAAGAAAAAACGATTTTTAGCCAGGATTGTGTAAACTTTCCGGTCATAAGTAGCAACATCTATTGTTCTCTGCAGAACTTGCATCTCATCTTGCAAAAAGGTTGATAGTTAGCATCTAAATGTCGTCATTTGTTATAGGTCCTAGGAACACCTATAACCCCTAACCTATGTACATCCGATCACGTGGTGGAAATTCCCCACTAAAACGGATAAAAGGCCGTTCTTACCCCCTCTCAGGGAAGTCTACAAACGAACGCAGGATTAACGACATCGTGCCAATTTTCCGAACCCACGGAATTCCGATCTCCGATGAACCTCAAATTAAATGAGTGCTTAAGTAGCGATTTTATATAATTTGTGCCGTATTTGTGGATTATTCCTTGGATCGATATTTTAAAGGCATCCACGTTCAGAATTGTCAAAGTGAACGGCTATAAGAAGTATGAAAGCACGGTGAAACACTCTCTAGGTCGGTATAGAAACGCTATTTGTGTAGTTTTTGTCCATTTTGCTTCTTTAATAAATAGTTGTTATATTTGTCATAAATATGGTAGACTCCTTTACTCGATCTCGCCCTTCACCTTATTGTCAACCCAAATCAACTCTCCGTACACTCGCCTGACATATCATCCTGACCATTGAACGGGAGCCTTACGCCCCCGTATTCCCAAACTTATAAAGAAACTTACGACAAACA